ATAAATCAATGCATAACTTATGTTAAATATAAAAGATTAACGCGTGGATCAGTATTTATTTGCCTAAATATTGCAATATTTATTTGTTTGATTTTACAAATATTTACAATTATTGCTATTACTAGATAGATATCTAATCTTATATACATGTATATATTTTATTTATGCATCTAGAAAATTATGTTTAATGTCTCTCAATAGGAAAAAAAAAAAAAAAAGAATCTCTTGTCTTAATGTAACTAGAGCATTTCGCTGAAATTGCTTTATAAAATGCTTTCAATTTATTTACGCTTCTGTCCAATGGTTTGTCAGCATTTTCAAGCGAATTACTATAGTTCACATTTGATTGCGATATTACCGGTTTTTTAGAGAAAAAGAAATCATGATGATGATGATGAGGATGATGATGATGAAGACCTAAGAATCATTGGAATGGAAGGATTTATTCCGTTACGAACATTATAACAACAAAGAAGCCAATCAAATCATTTTTTGATCAGTTCAATTTCAAGTGATTTGCAATGTGCAATACAAAAAAGTAATTTAACATTTTTCTTTAACTAATATCATTTTCTTTTCTTTTTTTTCTTTCTTTTCGTTTTTTTTTTATTTTTTTTATTTTTTTTTATTTTTCCTAATAGTGAAAAATTGTGATAGTAGATACGGAGTAAACAAACGTTTTAATATAATTTCCCTTTCTCTCTCTCTCTCTCTCTCTCTCTCTCTCTCTCTCTTTTGTTCTCCCTCCCTCCCTCTCCCTCTGTCTCTATCTCTCTCTTTCTCTGATAGGGAAGAAAATGTTGAACGATTTGATTATTTATTATTTAACATACAACTGTTAGACTTATGTCTTTGTCAGCTTCCTGAATGAATAGTAGTACAAGTATAGAATTGATATGAATTATATAAAAAAGAAAATAGAAGTAAATAATTTAGTTATTAAGATCTTTGTCTGCTGTATTAGTAAGCATATATAAGTATACCTTGTGATTTTTGAGAAAGTATTAATATAATAGGTAATACTGAACGTTTAAATGTTCTGTGTACATATATACACATATTCTTGTAATTTATATTCTTTGCATTGAATTATTTCTTTTTAAATTTGAGTTACGTACAAATTACATATAATTACATTGAACATTAAACATAATTTTCTATATATATTATTGTTTGAGGCGTTATCTGCTTAAAATGCAGTCAGTCTTACGTGTACGAAAATTTACAAATTAAATCAACGTTTTTATATTGTTCAAAAAGTAGTAGCATTTAACGATATCATCTTTATTTAAGTAATTTAAAACAAAACCAAAAAAAAGAAAAAGAAAAGTTGTTTTAAGAAACTTTAATACATAGTTCCTGGCTCTACTTTAAATTATTTTATTCTCAAAAACTTTTTATTACCATGTATTTAAATTAGAGATATTGACTGAATTTATTTATTTATTTTTCTCATTTTTTTTTGTTTTTTGTTTTTTTATTTTCGACTAATATTCTAATCTATAGTTTAATATTTAATTTACTATTAATCTCTTGCATGCCGCCTGACAAGAATAATCTTTTTCATCTCAGGCTTGAATATCATGCAAGGAGTGTCAGTCATATAAATAGCATTAATTTATACACATTTGCATTTTTTGCTACTCGATGATTCTGTGTCGATATAAACAAAATATTGAATGTAATAACATGTTGTACTAGAATAATAACATACTTTTCACGTAAATAATTATATTTAATGATAAAACTCATGCTATTTCTTTCTATTATCGTCTTTTTCTCTCTTCTCTTCTCTTCTCTCTCTCTCTCTCTCTCTCTCTCTCTCTCTCTCTCTCTCTCACTCGCTCTATCTGTCCATCCATTTATAATTCTTTATTATGAAATGCTTCTTTAAGTTGCATTAATAACAAGCTTTTTCCTAGAATTCCAATAAAAATTGCCCGTGAGCATACGTCACAATTTTTGTTATCAATTTCAATTTGTACACGATATTTATATTTCCAATTAGAATTTCAATATTATTTTGTATTAAACTATTAAACAAATGTCTAAAGAATATTTTTGGTAGTATAATAAAAAATCATTATATTCAATTAATTAACATAATAATAATAATAATAATGAAATTACGTTAATTAGTAATTTATAATTAGTGTAACTCGTTAATTATTTATTTTATTATTGTTTATATATGCAGAGTGTCCCATTTAAATCAATCCACTTAAATATTTTTGAAACTGTTGATGATAGAGAAAAGTGTGTAAAGTTGAATGGTTTAATGGGACACATTATCCAATATTATTAGTTTTTTTGGTTTTTTTTTTTTTTTTATAGGTGGATGCGTAAAGGTCACATGAAAGTAAATTTTGATTTTTTAAATGGAATCATACATTTTTTAATGTAACCTTTATATGACCTTTACGTGCCCACATACAGAAGAAACTAATAATATCGAATAATATGCCCTCTTAAATACATTTTGGTTCTACCATTAACAGTTTCAAAGATATTTAAGTGGTTCAATTTAAATTTTAATATATATATATATATGTACCTATATTTGTTGATACGTATTCTTTCTGATGAGATGCAAAAAGATTCAACAACGTTGATGGCGTTCCTTTTATTTCATATTGAGAAAAGCCAAGAATCGTGATAGCCCTTATCCTTAATCTATGTTAAGAGACAAAAATCTCATCTAATTTGTGTATAATGTTTTAAATGATAAATGTTCTCCAAACTTGTCATATTTTTCATTTGTGATATATTATTTTATAAAATATTATATATACATATAATAGGTAACAATGAAATAGAAAATGTATTTACTTGGATTATACAGAAGAAAAATGAAACGCGTTTCGTCAGATTGTGAGGAGTCGCTGTCAGTTATTATCCATATCGTTGAAAAAAAAAAAAAAAATGCGCTGGGTTTTTTCGATATGAAATTTGAAGAACGCGAAAGCAGCCTGTAGAATTCAAACGGTTAAATATAAAAATAATTTGTTTGATTCCTCTGTGATAAACATTCGTATTGTGATTATAAAAAAAAAAAAAATAATAGTAAAAAAAAAACTAGAGATTTCATTTGTTTGTTTGGCTTGTTGTTTTGTTTGATTTGATATTTTTTGTTTAAGTTGTATACTTTTTATTTTAATTTTTTCACACAGATGTACGATACACCGTACGACACACCGTACGACATACAGTGTACATATATGAACATGTTTTTTAAATCCTCTCTCCTTGAAAATATTGATTTACATTTTGTGCGATTAAATATGTCTATATTGTTAAAAATCTGATTTATAATATATATTAGTACATATATACAAGTACATATATAAAATATAAATGGAGATAAATTATTTTCTTTCTTGTAGAATTATGTAATAATTGAAAGATCTTAATATACTTAGACTTTTTAATGACATATTTAATAGCACAAAAAAGATATTGATTAACGATGATCATCTAAATGATAATAAATAATAGGACAAGTCTATCTCAGACTAGTCCTATCTAATACGATCCTCTATATTTCACGTTCGTTTAATTGAATGTGAAAATATAATAATGGATGATATATGTGTAACCGATGTATAATGTTAAATAATTAATAAGAATTTGGAGAGAGTAAATTCTTGATGTATTTAATACTTTATGGGGCAGCTGGGAACAGTGACAGGAGAAGTTAGTCCGGGACCAGTACCACTGCATACACGCGTCGCCTTGCCAGGTTTGATCGGCAGACATTTATAAAAATTACTTAATAATGAAAATTACTTTAATCTCTCGCTAATGTGTGTATTATTGAATGTGCAACGGATAAATATGTTATTTTTATGAATTCATAAAACTTCAACAAAAGAAAGTTTTAAAGTTCTCTATTGCCAAAATGAAAACACTGCTTATGTCCGGTCCAATTTTAATTGGAAAAGCTTCTACGAAAACTATTTTTTGAAATAATATTTGTTCATTTTAAAATGGAAAAGAAGAAAGAAAGAAAGAAAGAAAGAAAGAAAGAAAGAAAGAAAGAAAGTAAGAAATGTCATGAATAATGTTAAATTTCTTAATATATTAAATCATTTGTATATCAATCCATTTTCATTATTCGGTGGAGGTCCTGGCGGTCACAACAACTTTTTATTATTATGTAAAGATCTTTTCCACATATATGTAACAACAATAAATTACATAAATTATCTTATCTGTCTAATGGATAAACATTGAAATGTGTTTAGATGTGAAATAAAATGAAAACTGTTTTGTTTTTCAACAAATTTCCAACAAATTTCCAACAAATTTCCAATAGATTTTGCTATTGTGAGCAAAATGATTATTTTATATCAAGTGCAGGGTTTTTACTTTATGTAATTAAATGCACAGTAAAAATACCTCTTATATATAATAATTTTTTATTATATATGATACATTTTATACATATAAGATTATTACAGATAAATTCGTTCTGTGATTTTAAGTGATGATATTATTAAAAAAGAAAAGCATTAGTTCAAAGTGTAGATATAATATATTATTTGTAAAATGTATCAATTTTTGATCTGTGTACGTGAGTTAATACATTACAGTTGCAAATATTATTAGTAATATTTCAATAACGGTGAGTTTTTGAGTTTATGTATATATATATATATACATATATATATATATAGAGAGAGAGAAAGTACATTAAACTGGAAATGAACGTAATGGAAATTCTGCTGACATACGATATATGTATAACAATTAACTTTGTTCTTTATATATAGATTATAGAACTTATTAATTGAATTTTCTTGTTTTCTTTTTTCAAAGGAAATAATAACTATCCATTATATCGACATAAGTTTAAGTATAAGACTTTTAAAATGACAAATAGAAATAATACATAAATTGTTAATTTTTGATGTTGGCTGTGAACATTTAAACATAGTTTCAATTCTAGATGCAAATTTTTTCCATAATATTGGAATAATATTTAATTAATTATGTTTTTGTTTTTTTTTGTTTTCTTTTTTATAAACGATTTTCAATTTCTTATGTAAAAAATTATTTTAATATACATTACAAGAGAGCCAATGGTCACAATATGCCCTTACCGCATTGTTGTACTTTTTGTCTTATTTATAAATATAATTTGACATGTGCAATTGTCATTATAAAAATATATAGAAATAATAATGTTGTGATACCATGTACTTCATTATGTAATGTTTAATAAAATGTTTGTAAAAATAAATAAAAGATTATAAACGATTTGTGTGTGTGTGTGTGTGTGGGGTTAAATTGAATCGTTGTTGAATTAAGTGTTTCCAATTTTAATTGTAGAATCATTCAATCACTTGACTATCAACAATCTGCCTCATTTTATCTGTAACAGAAAACATTGGACCATGTCCAGGTATTATAAAATCAGCAAGATTAATAATACGTGAGCGCATGTAAGATTGAACTTTTTGTAATTCTTTTTGACCGAGACTTTTCCAAATTAATGGATTAACAATATCCTCTTCTTTTTCAAACAGATCACCTGAAAAACATCTTTACTGTCAAAATGAAATCCCCTATGGGGGGATATTAAAATCATAGTAATGATTAAAAAGAAAAACCTGTAATAGCGACACAACTAGATTGACCATTAATATTAGTTTGAACTAATACAGTAATATCTTCTGACGTATGGCCTGGTGTTGCAAGAACTTTAACACCATCGCATAGAATATATTCTTCTATAAATGAAATAGTATAATTAATATCAATAATGAAATGAGAGAAAGTTAGATTTTCTCTTTATTCAAGACGTACCATTTTTAAGATTTTCTTCATAAAACAAATCACCGTGCTGTACAGAATGACCTACAATATGCTCTGCATTGGTAAATAAATTATTATTTCCAATATGATCGGGGTGACTGTGTGTACATACAACATAATCAATTTCTGCTGGTGTTACATTCTCACGACTAAGAGCTAAAATCACGCGTTCATCGATATGTTTGGTTTTTTTATTTCTTTCTTTATTTCTTTCTTTCTTTTTTTTATTTCAAATATATTTACAACTAGGATTAATTAGCTCTCCATGATAGATACCTTCCAAAATTTTTTTCTGATCCCAAGCAGTCATAGTATCGACAATTATTAATTTTGGTCCTTTTATTAAAGTGCACGAACAATTGGCGCACATTATTCTATCATCCATTTGTTCCGAGTATCCATTAAACAAAACTTTGACTTCGCACATTGTCTTCCAATTATTCTTATTATTGAAATAATACAAACGCGTATAAGGAGATTAATTATTTCAATACTAAAAATAATTCTTTTTACATTACAGTTGAAATAAATGATTACTAAAACAAAATTCCAAAGTATACGAATTAAATACCACGATGGAGAGGTTAAGTCAAACTTAATGCTTCAATGACCTGTATATATAAACACGGGACGCACTTTGAACACGATACGACTTGAAACAACTAAATCCAAATTCCATAAAAATAATGAAATTGGTAATTATCCTTGTATTATTCTATATGTAATATTTTTTTCGATTATATCTAAATAACTATCTTCGACAAATTATTTACTATTTTTGTATTTATTTTTATCTATCTGTCCGTCCATCTATCTATCTATACACACAATATACACAATATACACAATATACACAATATATATATATATGTTGTATATGTATATTGAAATTACTGTTCCTTTTGTAATTATGTTTATATCATGTTTGCACAGTATTGCTTATCAAATGACCCAACAAAGCCATGCCTTGTTCTGAGTTTCAAAGGGATCACTTTAATGCTGGATTGTGGATTAAGTATGCAATCTATTTTACATTTCATGCCATTACCCATGGTTCCAAGTGCAAAATTTAATTCTTTACCAAATTGGCTTCCACGAGATAATCATCAAGACTGGCAAATTGAAGGGGTTGGTTTAAATGTCGAATATAAATATATAAATGTTAAAATACACACACACATATATATATAGATATTGACATATGAAATAAAAACATATAATACAATTGCAGGAACTGAAAGAATGTTGTGGAAGAGTATTCGTTGATTCAACGCCAGAATTCTCTCCTCCTCTTGAAAAAATAGTAGATTTTTCAGAAATCGATGCCATTCTAATATCAAACTATACTTGCATGCTTGCATTACCATTTGTAACTGAAGGTACTGGTTTTAAAGGGGTGATTTATGCTACTGAACCAACGTTACAAATAGGAAGATTTTTTATGGAAGAACTAGTAGAATTTATAGAACAAACACCTAGAGCAACTTTGGCTAAGCATTGGAAAGAGTTATTACATATATTACCACCTCCCTTAGCCGATGCTCTTAAACCAAAATCCTGGAGACATATATATGGACTGTCAGCTATAAATTCTGCTTTGTCAAACATTCAATTGGTCGGATATGATCAGAAATTGGTAATGTCGACATTTTCGAAAGAAAATTCTTAACATAATATAGTAGTAATAAAATGATATATAGAAATGAAATATTTTCTTTCTAGGATATATACGGCGCATTGACAGTTACACCAATAAGTTCTGGATATTGTTTAGGTAGTAGTAATTGGTTGATATCATGCGATCACGAAAAAGTTGCATTTGTAAGCGGTTCGTCGACATTAACGACTCATCCAAGACCTATGGAACAAGCTACATTGAAGCATGCCAATATGTTAATATTGACAGGTTTGACTCAAACACCGACTGCTAATCCGGATACGATGCTCGGTGAATTGTGTATGACTGTTGGTAGGTATAAGGCATAATAACAACTTGCTTACATGCTCTTGCATGTAACACAATGTAATTAAAAAAAACCACTTGTTTATATAATATTTTTTTTTTAGCTATGACACTCAGATCAGGTGGCTGTGTTTTAATACCATGTTATCCTTCGGGTGTGGTATATGATTTATTTGAATGCCTTAGTACACATTTGGATAAGTCTGGATTCTCTCAAGTACCTCTTTTTTTTATTTCCCCCGTAGCAGAAACTTCTTTAGCGTACTCAAATATTTTAGCCGAATGGTACGTTTTAACACTCGATACCATTTATCATTTATATTTATTATTAATTTCATGAATTTCATGAATTTCATGAATTTCATTAATTTCATTAATTCTATTATTTGAGGCTTTCAACAAATAAACAAAATAAAGTCTACCTTCCGGAAGAACCTTTTCCTCATGCATTTCTTGTTAAAAATTCAAGACTTAAACATTACACTTCTACCTATGCGGAAGGATTTAGTTCGGATTACAGGCAACCTTGTGTTATATTCTGCGGTCATCCTAGTTTAAGATTTGGAGATGCTGTACACTTTGTTCAATTGTGGGGCAGTAATCCACAACATACGATTATTTTCACAGGTATATAATAAAAGAAATAAAAGTTGATAAAAGTTGATAAATGATTATATATCTGAAGAGAAAATAATTGTCTTTTCTATTTCAGAGCCTGACTTCTCTTATTTAGATGCACTAGCACCATTTCAACCATTGGCAATGAAAGTGGTCCATTGTCCAATAGATACGTCTCTTAATTTTACCCAAGCTAATAAATTAATTAGAGATTTGAAACCAGAAACTTTAGTTATTCCTGAATGCTATACCCAACCGCCAATAACTGCGCTACATAGGACAGATCTTGTTATTGAACCCGTCGGAGTAAGACACACAATTTTTGCTAAGACATCAATTTTTGCCTTCTCTTCATTTTATATGTATATTTATTAAAAACATTATTTTTAATGTGTGTGATTTTGATTGAAGGAAAAACCATTGATTACTTTCAAACGGAGTGAAGTTATAAAATTACCTTTGAAACGTAAGAAAGGGCGCGTATTTATTGAACCAGATTTGGCTGGAAATATTGTCTTAAATGAGATTAGACCAGGATTAAGTCTCGCGTCGGTTACCGGTGAATTAGAAGTTAAAGATAATGTATATACGATAAAGGTACCACCAAAAGATAAACAAATATTAATTAATATATGTTAAATAATAAATCAAAAATCTGTTAACAAGAAATATTATTTGCACAGAGCATAGAAGATAGATCTAATTGTAAACGTAAAGGATCTTCTGGATCACCAGTACCGATAAAAGAAGAAATTCTTAAGGAAAGAAAGCATGAATATGGTGTATTGGATCCTCAAGAATTAATTCTAAAACTTAATCAAGAAGGAATTTTAGGTGCTAAATTACAACACAGTCCGACCTCTACTAGTATTCATTTGGTAGGATCATCATAATATCTTTTATTATCCAAATAATCAATCTTTTATATTCAATTTAGCTGTCATTATTTTTTTCTTTTTTTAGCAAGATGAGGATACTTTAATTCAGATAGGAGATAACTCGACTCATATCTTTTGCAATGGTGATCAAAAAATCAGAAGAAGATTAAGAGCCATTATAATGAAGTGCCTAAAACAATTTTAAACATTCGTAGAAAATAAAATAAACGAAACTAGCACACATGATGATTATTATATTGATGATTATATTATTCGTATACCAATGTATATATTGTTTTATTTATTTTTATTTTCATCAGTTCGTTAGTAATGTTCAATTGATATAATATTAAGTAAAACAGATATCTTTTTCACATTGTTGATTATCAAAATACAGTTATAAATATAAGACAGTACATATGTACATTGTACTGTATAATGTCAATTAAAAATAGTGGCAGTATCGTACAATAATTTTGATTACGACTGAATTATTTAAGATATCTTAAATTCCTTTTTTTTTTTTTTTCATAAATTACATTACGAGTACTATCTGTAATGGCAGAACAAAAAATCTATTTATTAAACTAAATAATAACGCAAAGAAGAGTAAAGGTAATTAAATATGGCTAAACAACTAATTAATATACGAATATACATGATAATATATATGCAAAAATACAACTAGCTACAGCTAAACGATATACAGGCAAACTAATTAACGTAATTAGATGCCTATGTGCTCTTCGTACGATGTATTGACGACTACTGTTCTCGATCATCCCTCTCTTTCTTTGTCTTTACCTTTCTTCTCGTTTCTGTTTTGTTTTTTCTCCTAGTAACGCTTCACTTTAAAGAAAGTACAACAGACGCACAATGCATACTGAATTAATAACGTTTGTAACATATTTATATATATATATATATATATATATATATAAATAATATAATATGTTTAAAAGCACGATAAACGCATAAATTGTTTTTTTTCAACACGATTCTTTCTATTAAATCTGCACAATTCAAACATGATACTTATTATTAAACAAAGAGAAATCAAAAAATTTTTAATAAAATTTCGCCGCTCTATTAGATAAATTTATAATGAAAACAATAATCATTCTCGTATCTCGTATATGGTATTTCGAAAAGTGTAGTTGTTTGATAAATATGAATATGCTGAATTCTTTCTAATAATACTTATCGAAGACAATTATATGATCTTAAAAGTATACGTAGAATTCAGTTAAAATCAATGTAAGCATTAATAATAATATTATTTGTATAAAAGTTAAGTGTAAGAAAATTTATCGTTAAATATACAAATGTTTGAAATCTTAAAATCGTGACTTTTGTTAAAAATAATTTGAAGGCTTCGTATATTGGAAACAGATTTTTTTAAATGATGTATATTTTGTAGATAGAAAAAAAATGTTTATGTGTGTATATAATCTTATAATACTAAATAATGACTTAGTTATTTCCCTAGGAAGTAATGTTTCATATTTTAACTTATTTCATTACTTTGACGATATTTTACTACCGAAATACAGTAATTTATATCTGAGATTTCAATTTCAAAGTACAGCAGCAACAGCAACAGCAAGTGTTTGCCTACTTTGCTGTAGCCATACCAAGTGCGAGGCCTACTGTAAAAGAAGCTAAGAAGAAATGAAATTCTGTGGCTTTGAAACATGACGAATCACCAGTTATAGAGTGATACCAGCGTCTTGTACGAGATTCTCCATTTTTTAACAGTTGTTCTGCTTTATCTAATTTTTTATCAACATATCTCTCGACCTGAAACAAGAAATATCTTTATTGTCCTCATACATTTCTACCAATTAATGATTTTAGGAGGTCTCAATATTTTGACACTTAACATATTATTTTATTTTGTATAGAATTAAAACATTATACTGATATAATTATAATTAGATAGTAAAATGAAACGGTTATTGCATTACACTTTTTTATTTAAATGCCGAAATATACTTAACATGTGTATAAACCACATGATTTACCGAGCAAGAATGATTTTATTTTTCAAAATTATACTATGCTAAGACATCTTTACAACTTGTATTATAAGAATGAATGATATTTACGAAAAAAAAGTAGAAGAAAGAAAGGGAAGAAAAAGAAATAAAAAGAAAATGCCCTCGAATCACAGAATTGCGAATCAATAGAAATTCGAATATACAAGATTTATATCTTCATAGAAAATTTGGATATTATATTTATAAATTCACGATGCAAGGCCAATAATGAAGCCACCAAGGAAACTTGTTGCCACATAAGAATTCTTCCTGCACCATGTCCCTACCTATAAGAATACAAAATATATGTTTTATTTACAAATTAATGTTTAATTAATCTTTGTTTTTTTTTTCTTCTTCTTTTTTTTTTTTACCTTATCTATGAACCTAGGACCCTCCCCAGTTACTTTCTCTTCTACTTTGTCTGTAAGTTTTTCAGCTTTTCTTTGAATTTTATCCCAATTAACTTTGATATATCCTTGATGAGCAGCTATTTGTAAAATAATAATACCGCCGCCGACAGCAAAAGCTGCAACTTTTCCAACTTTCATAGTAAGGAAACCAGTCATCCTAAATTCGAAAGAAAAGAAAGAAAAGAAAGGAATTTACTATATAAATAAAGATAATTACACGCAGTAGTAGATATATGTCCTTACCATCCAGACGTCGTACCAATTATAATCTGTTTGGTAGCCGAAGTTTTACCTACGTCCCCTAAGACTTTGTCTAAAAAGCTTTTGGCTTCCTTTGAAACATCTAACGTACATATTTCTTTACTAGTGCCTTCCTTACTGCTTTTATCCCCAGGAAGATTCATTTTAGCACTATAAATATCGTATAGATTATTAAAACAATGACGCTTAGCTTACGACAGAATAAGAATTTCAAATAGACAAACGCAATATTGCGGAAATAAATAATGAAATCATCTTTCATACATATGTATGTAGTATGAAAATCGATTTTCAATAAAACTATTTGAATTTCTTGCATGCATTATTATTTTCCTTTTGTTTATGCTATTTTTATATACTATTTTTATCCTGATTAGGACTGAACAAACAACAATGACTGAATAAAGAAATATACAACAATGTGTATCTATCAATGACGGATTTATCGTCGTCGTCGTCGCGACATATATATAGTATTCGATGTTACACCTTTCAAGATGAAACAAAGAAATGACAAACTATATTCCAAACTATATGTATTCCAAATATTCCACAAATCAAATACGTTGGAAGAACAAAGCAGAGCAAAGATTATTTATACCGTTTGTATAATTTTCTTGCTCCTGACGTGATTGAATTTTTCGACAATTTGGGCATAACGCAGATAGATATTTAAAATAGATTTTCAAATTGTTATGTAATGTAATAATGACAACAATCGATTATTTTTCATAATATTTACGTTTAGTTTAATTACACGTTAGGCTCACCTAATCGTCCAATGAAAGATAATAATATAATAATCGATCGATTAATATCAGTTGCGCGAACTGACAGTGTCAGAATAAGACTTTAGCAGAATAACGAGGAGGAGTGTTTTAAACGAACGTTTAAACAACGTATTTACTTGATACGTTGCGATAACGCTTTAACTATAATACCGTGTTTGGTCAAAATGGCGGAACATTTAAAACGATATATATAACTTTGATCTTGAATAAAGTAGAAATAGAAGAAAGGATAAAATTAATCAAAAAAAAACAAAAAAACAAAAAAAAGATAATTCTAAAGATATTTTTGGTAAAGAAAAACAAGAATAAATGATAGGAATAAAAATATTAAGAATTGTATTTATTTGAATAGGAGGAGACAATGAACGCCGTGGAAGTAGCAACATAGTATCTGGCGCAACGGACAGATTTGATGATTAAAAACGATCGCGTGTTTAAGAAGACAGTTTTACGTCGCGAGATTATTCGGTTCTTTTGTAACCTCTTTGGTGCGTTAGAAAAAAAAAAAAAAAAAAGAAAAAGAAAAAAAAACAAACAAACAAAAAGAGAGAAAACAAATAAATAAATGAAAACAAGAGGAAGAGGAAGAGGAAGAGGAAAAGGAAGACAAATAGAAATACTTTTGCTCCGCGTGAGAGAAGAAAGACAAAATAACATTTCTTTTGGTAGAAATTGGGAAAAAGATCTTATCAACGTTTGGACGTTGTGATCGTTCATTCGGTTTGGATTTTTATGAAAAAAATGTCTTCGAAGGATCTTCTTTAACGTGTACGTTTGTGTGTGCGTGTGTGTGTGCGTGTGCGGTGTTTTCGTTGATGTAACAAGTGTGTAGAAAAATGGCCCAGGAAACGGACGATATCAACTTGACTCCTCAAGAATTACAGATATTATCCGAATTAGACAGGTGATTGGACGATTGATTAATGCTCAAAATCAAGAAAAGTGTTTAGTCTTATACGTGCAAATATTTCTTTTTACTTTCTCTCTTTCTCTCTCTCTCTCTCTCTCTCTCCCTCTCTCTCTCTCTATATATATATATATATATATACTTGGATTAGATCTCTTTTAAAAGATCACAATGTAACCTTAAAGTTTGGCCATCTGACAGAAAAGAGGCGGGCAATTTTTTCTCCTCCTCTCCTAATTTGTCTATTTACCGAGCAACCTACTAACATCCTTTTTACCTTACTACTATACCCCTATTATACGCTCCTTCTTTCTCTCTTATTTTTACTACAATACAATTTGAAGAATTCAGAATTAGTTGATAGATTAACAATGAAAAAGCTCACTTTTTGTTTAATTTTCCTTTGTTTTGTTTAAATTAGAAGAAAATCAATGCTATGTCTAATGTTGATATTTGGAGAAAGAAATGTTACATTTGAAGTTGAATGTTCTTTTCGCGCGCTTCTTCTTATTTTATCTTACAGGAGAAGCAACAATATTTGTTTCATTTATTGTAACATTCCTCTTTGATCTAATTTCCAAATGAATCCAAAATGAATCTTTCAATACATTTTATCTGACAACTATCTGACAAATATACAATAAATGTATACAATACAAAAATATAGAATAACTTAATGAGCTCTTTGTAAGATTTGTATGTAGATATTGTTGAAATAAATCCAAAATTACAATGACATATTTGTAATATAAACAACGTATAATAATAAGTTAGACATGGTTTCTAATCTATCTATTTAAATCTATTTTTCTACCGGTTTTCATAAAACTGTAAAAACTCAAGAATGATGCTACTGTTACTTTGTGTAAATTTGTTGTTGGTTTTACTTGTTTTCTTTTCTCTCTTCCTTTTTCTTTTCTTCTATTAGCTATAACAGAATGTTTTTTCTTTCTTTTTTTTTGTACGTACACAGTCGACAATTTGGATTTCTTAAACTGAACGCACCAGAGCAGACAAAGAGAAAGGCTTTGGTAGTGCGTGCAATTAAGTACTTAGAAAGAATGTTGATCCAAGCGCAATCTGAAAAACAACGCAGAAAAGCGGATAGTATTAAATTGAATTCAGAGGAGCCATCAAAGGACGATGAGGAGGAAGACAATGGAATTAGTATTGATCCAAAGACTTATTGTAAATTAGGTCATTTTCATTTGCTATTGGAAGATTATTCTAAAGGTTTGTTGTCTATTTTTTCTTACTAATTTATAAATATAAATGGTACATGATGCGTTGTTTTATACTTAAATTTGTATATTTTTACAGCCATGTCAGCGTATCAGAAATTTTATGCGTTAAAAGGCGACTATTGGAAAGATGCTTCGTTTCTTTATGGACTAGGACTCGTTTATTATCATTTTAATACCTTTCAAGGGTAAGCATCAATTTCTTATACATATATCATTTTTCTTACATTTATCAGTTTTCCTTTGTCATTTTCCTCTATATATAATTAATAAGAATCTTATGCATGTCTCTCTCGTTAACTCTTTTTAACATTGAAATCTTCATCTTTGAACGGATAAGGAGTAGCATTTGTATAGATGGAAATAGCACTGTCGACAAATGTAGTCTCTTGCTAAAGTTGCTTACCTTGAAAAGCAGAGGGCATCGGCCCTTCGATGATGTATACGCAAAGGTCATCGCCGTTCCACTTGCACCCTATTTCAGATCTTTTTTTTTTTTTTTTATTTTTAACGGTCGATAACACAAATATACGTACACACATATTTTACCGACAAATTGACTTATCCAACAATCGCATCGGTAATTAATAGTTTTCTTCCTTACCGACCGTGGATCATTTAACATAGTCATTTTGGTAATATAAACTTGTGGAAATTCTAACTTATCGGCAGTATATACTAATATTCCGACAGATGTCAGTACCACGATTTTGTCGGAAAATGTTGAACTAACGGTGTGGCTGGCTTACGTGCCAAGCGATGTCGGATGTATGGCGCCCAGCTAGCAGCTACCAGCTACCAGCTAGCAGCTAGCAGCTAGCGGTGCGGGGAGACGAATAATAGAGGAACAGGACGTCCATACATATATATATATATATATGTACATTTATATGGATACCTTTTTTCCACCGACTCTAATGAATGCACTGAAAAAACATTTCTCCTCGCACCTCGCGTGCGATCGCATACGCAAAGTCGATATTGCGTTATGAGGGCAATGTCTTTCCTGACTTTATTTCTATTCTCTTTTTCATTATTTAACTTTACAGATATTTATTTACATATGTGTGAAACTATAAATGCTATTTATTTTTGCATTTTACGGTTTATTGAATTTCTTCCCGTTTATCTTTATTACTTATCGCACGCATATTCAAATTTTATCTGAATAGAATTAATATTGTATTTCATTCATTCAATGAATATTATATTAATTGATGCAAATGTTTTAAAAACAAATATTTCTTCAATTCAAAATATATAAAGTTAATTTGAAATGTTACAAAATAAAGTGGGAGATTGAAAGGAAGGAAGAAGAGCTCTCGCTTATTGCCTTTAAATCCCATTTAAATCCCATTTAATTTAATGAATGCTTACCAATCTCTATTGTAAGTTGCAATTCATGTCAATTAATTTCCTTAGTGTATATATTATTAACGTTATACTTGTTCGTACGGGAACTACGATACGTATTTAAATAACTTGCTGCACGTCATTTCCAAATTTGCAATGTGGGTCGTTTCTACTTATGTATAGAAATTATTCATTAATTTTACCCTGTGTAATAATAATAGGGTTTATGCAAATGTAATTGTCATTTTAAAACAACCAACGGAGAATTAGTATTTAACCTTTATTAACGCCATTTATTTTCTTTTTCTTCTTGTTATCGTTGTAGTAGAGAGACATCATTTATTTCATGTTTTTTTTTCAATATTTTAAACAACATTTCAAGATCGTTTCTTTCTCATCATTTTTTACACAATTAGATTTATCTTTTTATTTCGGGTTTTAAACAGAGATATCAATCAAGAGATTGATTTCAATAAGAATATATATTTCCTACAGATTCCGTATAAAAATGTTCAGAACTTGCTGCTAACTTTTTTTCTTTTATATCATTTCTTCCCTTTTCCCATTCTCGCTTTCGTTTGGAATGAAAAAGCATGTAGCAGCAAGCTGTAAATAGGACTGCACGAAATCGTTACCGAGAATAAGGGAAACTAAAACGGGTCGCTCGATATTTCTATAGCTTGCTTCTCTGCCATCCCAGCTTTTGCTACCAGTTACACTCTTTTACTTTTAATTCTTCAAAATAACGACTAATGATTTTATATAAAAACACGCGCATATGTCTATATATATATGTCATGTGTACAATTTATCAAATAATTTAACAATTTAACTAACGTTCTTGTTTATTTCCATTAATTTGCACGCCATTTTGTTATCGCATTAGTTCCCTTTTATTATTATTATTATTCTTATTATTGAGTTGTATGAAATTATTCGCATATACATAATACGTATGTAGATATGTAGATGAAATGCGAATGTCCGCCATGAAAGAGCGTCGCTAGGTCACACGCTGAATATAGAGAGAGAGATGCGTCGGGAGAAATCGATTTTACAGCTTTCTATCTCTATCCTTCTCCTCGTCTTACACACGTGTTTCTTGCGCAATATATGTATGCGCATATGCACGTGCATTCATTCTACAAAAGATTACAATTCTAATGGCTGCCATTTTGGGAAACAAAGGCTTTTGACCGGTTCGCTATTGTCTCTTTTTTTCTTTTCTTTTCTTTTCTTTTCTTTTCTTTTCTTTTCTTTCAATCTATTTTCATTAGATTATTACTATACAAATTATTAACACTAGATATACCTACCAGATCAGCCAGCCATTTATTAAATTCAAAATTTGCAACTTCACGTAACATTTGATTTCTGTAAATAATTAATTATTGTTAAACATTTTTTGAGAGTTAACTGGAAGCAAAGCTCAACAAGCATTTTTTGTATACACCAGTCATTTTGACTAGTGTGCTAGAGATAGGTGTATATTGAAAATGGCGGTATATCTAGTGTTAAACAAATTGAAATATTCCCTACAACTTGAAAGAAGAGAAGATCGATCAAATCGCTCGGACAAAGTTTCAGACAAAAAGTTTCCTTATTTCCTTGTCAAGTTTCTACGAAACGTTTGCCTGTGTATGAAATATTTCATAGATTCGCGATTAAAATACTTGGATTAGTTTGCGCGGGAAGACTAGTAAATCTCATAAATAATACAATCGATAATAATATGATACGGATTAAAAAGTTCCTTCTTTTTACATTCGCTCACATTATTATAAGCGTTACATACTTGTATACATATTTCTCTCTTTTATTCTTTCCCCATAGTTGGTGCAATATACTTCTCGACCAACTGCACACGGCGTTGCACTTGGCGCACACTTTGAAGCAGAGTTGCATGCAAGCTCTGACCCAGATTATACGATCGATGTTCTTTGCCCTAGATACGCCTTCAGAGATTCGTATTTTTCTTTTTTTTTCTTTTTTTATTTTTTTTTTTTTTTTTGAAATTTTTTCATTTTTTTTTTGATGTATTTATCATCAAATATATTTTTTTTTCTATTAGTTTTCTTATTTTTCAAAATTACAATAATTCATATTTATTGCATAAACATATACCAAATAGTTTTATTAAGTTACAATTACAGTTAGAGTTAAACAACTTGATATAATCAACGACTTTGATATACTATCTGCATAGTATATGTAGATAGAGAGGCCTAGGATAAGAATTTCTTTTTTAACGACGATAGCATCATTGCTGTCATCATTGGTAGCAAAATGCATATACATATATACGTTTTTGCGATTAGTGGGAGGGGGAAGAGAGATAAGCTGCAACGAGGACGACAACGTTCCCCAGTGTGGGGGGGGGGAGGTGGATGGTAATGGTGGCGGTAGAATCGCCTCGGTATTACTTCGCGGATCGTTCGGCGAGGTCATGGTCAGCTGGCGTGCTGAAACCGAGAGTCAACAAACTCTGATGTGAGTAAGAGAACGAACGAACGAACGAACGAACTGAATCGTGCGATCGGATTTTCAAACGTTCACCTAACGAATAAACGAACGAACGAACGAACGAACGAACGAACGAACGAGCGAACGAATCTTTCAACTGATCGATCACTGATCATCTCATCCGGACATTTAACTCTTTTATCTATCACCTAATACAACATCATTTTAACCCATCCGTCGACTGGTACTTTACGTGTTTGTGTTTGGTCGCTGATTATTATTTTTATTTTATGCTCGGCGTGTCTACTGCTAAAAATAATTCAGGATCGTTATTAATAGCCTTTCGTTTTCTCTCTCTCTCTCTCTCTCTCTTTCCCTCTCTTCCTTCCGCTCCCTTCCTCCTTTCGTATGATGTGATTGTTGTGTGGCAGGTGCAGTATTCACAATCGAGGAACGGCTTTTATTCTCAACCGTTCGCTCAGAAGATTCTCGTTTCTACTCGGTTCATGTCCTCTATACTTTTTATATATACTATCTATGGGGTTGAGTGTGCGTTTCCCATATACATACACCTGGTTAGAAGCGCGCGCCTTCCGTAGTGCGCACGTGTTTCACCTTCTTTTCTCTCTCTCTCTCTCTCGTATTTATTTATTTTTTGTAACGCAAATAGTATAAATATATCAATATAATAATAATAATAATAATAATAATAATAATAAATCAAATTAAATATGTTACTATTTTTAAATTCCATGATTTTTTTTCTATTGTTAGGAATAAAGGAAACAGACAAAAAAGAAGAAAATACTTAAGCAAGTAACTTATTTATTTACATTAGTATGAAAAACATTTTTGAGAGGGGGCTTTCGTGACGTCGTCGTCGTCGTCGTCGTCGTCGTCGTCGTCGTTGTTGTCATTGTCGCGTCGTTGGTTGACAGGGACGAGGTAGCAGCAGTGGCGTGAAGCGATGCGCGCGCGCTTCAGTCGCGCCTTTCAAGCGTGACGTCATTGGTTAGCGAGGCGACGAATTAACCAATGGAGTGACGCCACGTCATTGACTGCTTATTCTTTCATTTCGAATCGTTTCCGTCGTTGTTGTCGTCGTCGTCGTCGTCGTCGTCGTCGTCGTCGTCGTTGGCATCAGCGTCGTCGTTGGCATCGACGTCGGCATCGACATCGGCGTCGACGTCGACGTCGACGTCGACGGTGGAGAAGGAGACGACAAGGAGTCACGTGACGTCATAAGCTACACAACGGAGAGCCACGCCGCCCGCGCGCTCTCTCGAGTTCAACAACCTCGGGCACCAGAGTTCAATACACCGACGGACTCGAGGAAAGATATACCAGCGGGCGGGCGGCCTGTGTGCTCTCT